CCTCCCCACAGCAATAAGGAGGGGAGGCATCCACACAAGAATGAAAGCGCGGTCCCCCGAGGTTGAGAAACACTGGTCTATCTTGTCGCTTTGCATCTCGTACACATCTTTAATTTGGCTCCAGGTTAGCCATGCTTTGAAAGCCAAGCTTATGGTACAATGTATGATGCGCAAAGAGCCTACACCAGGCTGGGGAATTCTGGGAGCAGAAGTCCACCTGTCTGAAAGTTGCTGAGGTTGAGAAACCCTGGACTAGAAGATTTCCAAGATCGCTTCCCACCCTTACATGCTATGATCCTAACTTCTTCCTCTGGTCATTTCCTCCCTGCTAAGATTTCCAAGATCGCTTCCCACCCTTACATGCTATGATCCTAACTTCTTCCTCTGGTCATTTCCTCCCTGCTAAGATTTCCAAGATCGCTTCCCACCCTTACATGCTATGATCCTAACTTCTTCCTCTGGTCATTTCCTCCCTGCTTATAATTCTCCCGACATCTGGAAGGCCTATTCCAACAAAAATTATTTATTTAGTAGGCTTCAAACCATCTGTAATCATTTGGCAGCTCTTGTTCAAATAATGGGTCAATGTTTTTGTGTGAGTGCAGCAGCCCCACCCTGAGCGTAAATTCATCCCGGAGTAAAACAGGCCAAGGAAGAGCTCCTGATGGACGCTGGGTAAGCCACACACCACCCCATGGAGGAGTTTACAACCGATTTTGGGTAAACCTGTTCCAGGTGCCAATTTTGTTTCTCAATTTCCATGTACGTTTGTTGAATGTAAGTATACAATCCAGGGTTATTGTGTTTTTATTGTGGTGCAATCGTGTCCCATCCCAGTCTGGTCAGTCCTGATTGTGCAAACGGAAGAGAGTTCTCTAAATCTTCCTTGCATAATAGCTGCTGTTCTTTTTAATCTGGATAAATGCCCTGCCTGCGTTGCCATGGCTGAACCGTCAGCACAGATGAAGTTTCTTTGGTTTGGACGGAGTGGTTGATCATCCACACAAATGTTCAGGAGGAATGTGCCAACACATTTCTGTGCGGAACACCGCTGAATATGC